CAGCGCTAATCTGAATAATCTTTTCATAACCAGGACTTTTGCAAAAAGGTTGATAAACTTAACAATCACTGGACGCGGGGGAGACGATACGCTTGGCTTTTTACCTTGTCTGAATATTTTCAATATGTCCTCATCTTTCAGAGACTCGTCTGTTGGGGACCTTAAAAAGCCAAGAACATTGCCCCTATCTTTAGCAACATCCAAGTCTTCGCTGAAATTAAAGAGAATTATGTTGTTCTCACGGGCCTTAACTTCATTTGCCACTTCAATTGTTCTGCGAACAGAGATGACCTCTTTACTAACTACGTCGAGGTCCTTTTTTACCACATCGGAAAATGAAGTACTGATCATATTTCTCAAATAAGCAGCCTCGTTATCGACAATTTTAGAATTACTCTTTACCACGTCTGACCAAGACTTGGTGATATCGTTTTTCAAGGAATTAATAGACTGGTTAAGTTTCTCGTCTAGTTTTTCTAACTGTTTTAGGTTCTCACCGCTTGACTCAAGCCTCAACTGCAGATTTTTCATCCCAATATCAATGGAATCAAACGTTTTAAGACGAGAATCAATGGATTCAAATTTTTCGTTAAGCATCTGCAAAAGACCTTTGAAACCATCAGCATGTTTCACTCAATTATCACAATAAAACTTCATGTTTTTACTTTTGCTAGCATATTTCACCAATTCATCATATAAGTCCGAAGGCTCGATTTGAACCACCGCATCACATACACAACATAATATGTTATCATCCTTTACAGAAGCAGATTTCGGAATTGACTGAAGTAGGTGTTTATTATGGGTTTGTTTAACCCCTAAGAGGGAATAATATCTATAGTTATTTTTAATATATTATTATAAAATAAATTAGTACGATTTTGTAATTCGGAGACTAAACGGTTTGATTGCTTTAGGTTTTTTGTTGTATATGTTTTTTTATTTTGATGGGAGGATATATTGGAATGCTGAATTATCATGGTTGTAAAGAGTTTTATAGTATAAATTTATTGATAATTTTATTTGGCGTAAGACCAAAGGCATTTCCAAAGCCATTACCTGTAAACTAATAGCTGAAGTTCTGTGAGCTCAAAATCAATTGCAAGTAACAAAGAAATGGTTTATTAGAAAATCCCTTCTCATTTATCAAAGCAGCACAATAAAAAATAAATAATGTTGATATATTATAACTATTGACACAAAATGTTAAAAAGTTATTCTCATTTTTGCGCTTGCTTCAGAGGTACCATCGACAAACACACACACAGCGTACATGAATACGCGTGAAAACCATGCATACTACACATTGCATATGATAGGCGAAGATCTTTTTAGATTCGAACCCAGTCACTGCAGTAGCAAAACCAGGCGCCTTTAACCATTGAGCCACCGCGCCACCAAATATTAAAATGTATTGAAAATTGATTTTTTAGTCTTTTTTAGTCTTTATGGTTTTGTACAAATATTTAAATAAAGCAACATACATAGTGGTACCAATATTATAAAGCACTACCTCCCAAGTGTACAACAGAGGCACGGTATTCAATTCAAGCAAAGTTATATTGTAATAAATCGTATTCTAATTAACTATTTTGCAGCTTTGAAAATGATGTTACAAACACTTCATCATACAACTAAACAAATACTTACTCTAACAAAAAAGACACGATTTGTCAAATATATCAAAATTCAGAAAAATATTATATATAATTTATATATAGTAATAAAATTTAAAGCATATTTGGTTTTATCACAGATATTATAATATTATCATATTATAATAGTTATAATTATATAAAGTAGAATTATAATAGTTTTAAAAGAAATAATAATGATCATCAAGCTGTATTGAAAATGATTTTGGAGTATTACCATGAGACTTTGATCTTTTTGCTTTTCTTTTGTATGAGAGTTCTGGAGCATCTCTACACCTAAACCAACAGTAACCGCAAGCATAGCCTCATTCCACCGAATTTCTGTCTCTACTGTCCCACATACACAAAAAGCAGCAATATTTAGTATAACCTAATTGCATTCCTAAAAGTATAGCAATGACTTTTAGATCACCACAATTTCCCATTTGCGTTCATTGTAGTTTATTGAATTGAGGAGAGCCTTCATGTTTACATAAGTTTCTTTCATGTGAACTGCATGACCAATAGGAATAGAAAAAAACTGGTTTCCATTGTGCAATAATACAACTTTCAAGCTTAACTTTGATAAGTCTATGAATAATTTTTTTTCATTTTTGAATTCAGCGCGTTGAAATACATAAGAAATAGCCCATTGGCTTGGATATAAAATCACTGTCGTGCAAATTACACATTTAACATTATTTTGATGGCTTTGTACATTTAAAAAACGCGTTTGCTTCTTTTAGTTCATTCATTGAATTGTTTTACAGGAAGTCCCGTAACTATCGAATTATAACGTGATACGCTACAAAAGTAGTATTCAATCTTATCAGACTGCAATTACAGGCCAATTTGTTATAAATTGTTATAAAAAAAATACAGTGTGCTGTTAAATCCGCTGGAGTAGTCAAAATGCTGTACAGAATGGACTATATGATTATTATTTCTTTGTGAAATTGTGACAGAACGACTACAAATATGAGATAAAAATTGTGCTTTTGAAGTTTGGCGCCTGTATATATGTAGATGTATATATTTAGATGAACATTTTTATGTATGTATGTTTTGTTGTTAACTATAACATATATGCGACGCTTGCTACGTGTTGTTCTGTATTTAGGAAGTATAGTTGGAATGAAAGCTTACTTTTCAAGAAGTATAGAAAGAAATATAGAAAGAAGTATAGAAAGAAATAAAAATTATTACATAACAAATTTGTTTTCTGGGAGGGTCTCTTATAGAGTTGCGGCTCCTGGCCAGGAAAAGAATCCGCCTAGATAAAGGCTCGGATAGATATTCGTAGGCAGACGTGACGCGTTGTTCGAATGTCGCCAGACAAAAATCTACAACTTGATTCTATAATTATATGTTTCCATTACTAATTAATTGTTGTAATCAAATATCTTTGTAACGCCAATTGTAGAAGATATCGATTGTAAAACTGCTGTATATAAGCACGACACGAGTTGTGGAAAGAGGTTGGAGTTGCTGGATTACGGAGTTGCACTGAAAATTATTGGCGATCGTATTTCTTGAATTGGTGAATGATTCGTCGATTCTATTAATGTTGGCATTCAAATAAACGTTTAAACAAGTCTGTGTTTGAAGCAGTTGTGTATATCTATCAAAAATCAGTTAATCTGCGGAAGATCGAATAACTTGACGATCGCGATCGCGCAAGTTACTACAATACCAAAAAATAAATAGACGTGAGAACGAGCACGGCACTGGTGATAGCCCTAAAAAGCTCGGCGTTAGAGGTATTATAATCAATTCATGACAAGAATAATGACAACTTTGAGATTTTAACAGACGCGTTGGATCGACGCGAAAAAAGGGACATATATGACGATTTTGCAGAAAAAGTGCAGGAAACAATGGCTATTGACAGACAAAAAAATATAAATGAAAGAGGGTAATTCCGCGTTACAGTCTACTAACAAGAATTCAGAAAAACGAAGAAAAGCCATAAGGCAAAATTGGCTGAGGAATCTAATGTCCCCAGTGCCATAGTGAACGTTTCTAGGCAGAACTGTATGATTACTATCTATACTGGAGCCACAAGATCTATCCAAAAAAGAAACCTAGTTCCGCATCTACTACGTGAAAAGTAAAACCGATATAAATTACAAACAGTCACTGGAGAAACAGCATCTATTTAAAGGGAAGTCATTGAATGAATATTGCTTTTCAGCTTCCACGTTTTGATTCTATCATTGAGAGACCTAACTAAATTTAAATGTACATTAGAATGAATAAAACTAAATTACAAATAAAAACTGTAATTTAATATAAAACTTTGTCATAATATGTGTAAATAAATTATAAATCAAAAAATTAATTAAAATTTTCTATAAAAAAAATTACAGTTAATTTACAGTATGTCCATTTTTCGAGATGATTTAATGTAACAAATTCTTAGGGGCATCAACACAAACACACAGTGCATGTAAATGCACGTGAAACACGCATCATACACATTGCATGTGATAGACGAGGATCTCTTCGCAATCGAAATCGGTCACTTTACCACTACACCATCGCACCGCCCATATTTATTTATTTCATTTTTGTTTTTCCAATGCCATTTTACATTTTCTCAGATCTTAAAATTTTTAGATTCATTTCCTTTAATTTATATTATTTTTATTATGTTTTAGCGTTATTTTCCTTTTCAACCATTTCAGTCCTTTTAATATTTAGTTAATTTCTGGCCTGTTGTACCAATTTTTTCATCGTTCAGAGTTTGATTTTCAGAAAAATTATAAAAAAAAAGTAACATCATGTGTTGTATGACATTTTCTTCTTGATGATTTGGTGTCTATGAAAAAGGTGAAATAATAACGAAGGCAAATGAAGAACTGATTGGATAAAGTAATATTTGAGAGAAACAGTAAAATTGAGATGATTTGATAGTTGTAATGCGTTAATTACGATAAGGTTCAGAATATTTGCATAGATAACGAATAATCCACAAACTTGAAGTCATCAATTTTTGATGATTGAATTCCATGAAATATTGCTTCTTTGAGTGAGATATAAGGATTTATCTTCATGACACATTCATTTAGGTTTATAAGTTGGTTTTTCAAGTGATCCCACCATATATTCACAGCTATGTTGCTATTGAATGATGACACTTGGTGGATCCTACAATTTATAATTTGTCGTTAAAATATGATAGACTATATTTAACTTTGCCAAATTTATCCAAAACAAATAAACGATTTTATAAATTATTTACCAAAGAATCGATAGTGCCAATATGACAATTTTATTACGATCATTTCACCTGGCCATTAAAGAAAAATATTTCAAGCTATAAAACGTTGATATGTTTATAAATTAATAAAAAGAGTTCAGTTAATAAGACTAACACCAGTGATGGGCAACTAAATAAATGTTTGTAGCTAAACTCTATTTTGCAGCTAATAAAAAGTAGTTTAATTATTAGTTGTAAACATATTTTTTAAAATAGTTAACTAAAAAAAGTAACTAAACTTTTCCAAACTATTTTGCAACCATTTTTTATATTCACTTTTTGATGGGTAATTCTGAGGCAGCATTAACACTTTAACACAACTAGCCACGTTATTTACATTTATTACTTCAAAACAACTCAAAGAAATAAATTTGAATATAAAGAAAAAGACAAAAATAAAATTTTTTCTAATAGTTCAAGTGTTTTTGTTAATTTTGATTTTAATCTATTTTTCTTAGCTTCATAAAGAGCATTTAGACATCTCCCCATTGTCCTCCGACTGGGCATTTTGATGTGAGATAGAACTTGAGCGAAGAATTTCAGAAAGCCATTTCTTTCCATTGTTAATAGTTGAATATCCTGTACCAACATACGGATAAGCTTGTCAAACTTTATCATTTTTGTTACTGCTGTGCATTTGTTAAACGATTCAGATACAGTGGCTTGACAAGAAGAATGCCCTTTTCACAAGTACCAGCTTC